TAAGAACTAGAAAGAAAATAGAAGAAAACCCAGAGGGGTGTGTATATATGTGCTTGTACATGTATGTGTAGTGGGACCTAAGTGTAAGTAGAAGTAGCAAGACGTACCTGAAAACTTGCATGTTCATGAGACAGAAAAAAGGACACCAGCAATCCTACCATCATGTAAAACAATTACAGGCTTTCGTTTTACACTCACTTGGCAGGACGGTAGTACCTCCCTGGGCGGTTGCTGTCTACCAACCTACTACCTAGGACTGTGACAAAATACCTCCACGAAAAGAAATTGCCACTCAAGTGCTTCCTGGTAATGGACAATGCTCCTGCTCATCCTCACGACTTGCAAGAGGGAATTGCAGGGAAGTTTGGTTTCATTAAGGTGAAGTTTTTGCCTCCTAATACAACTCCTCTCCTCCAGCCCATGGACCAGCAAGTCATTTCAAACTTCAACAAACTCTACACAAAAGCAGTGTTTCAAAAGTGCTTTGAAGTTACCTCAATTGACCCTAAGAGAGTTTTGGAAAGATCACTTCAATATCTTCAGTTGTGTAAACCTTATAGGTAAGGCTTGGGAGGGAGTGACTAAGAGGACATCGAACTCTGCTTGGAGGAAACTGTGGCCAGAATGTGTAAAACAGAGGGATGTTGAAGGGTTTGGGGCTAACCCTCAGGAGGCTATGCCAGTAGTGGAAGCTATTGTGTCACTGGGGAAGTCCTTGGGGTTGGAGGTTTGTGACAAGGATGTGGAAGAGTTGGTGCTGAACGACGAGGAAGAACTAACCACTGCAGACCTGCAAGAGCTTCAGGAGCAACAGCAACAGATCACACCTCAGGAATGTTCTTCAGAGCAGGATGAAGAGAGACGGAGGAAGATGACTTCATCAAGGATTAGGGAAGTGTGTTCAATGTTTACAAAGGTGCAAGCATTTATCGAAGAATTTTATCCTGTCACTGAAGTTGCAAGCCACATTGGCAACATGTACAATGACAGTGTTGTATCCCATTTTAGGGAAATCCTAAGGGCATATGAGAAACAAGAGCTCTCTGGACAGCTATTTTGTGTGACAGGAGTCCAGAGATTCTCAAGCTATTTAACCCTTTCAGGGTCGGCAGGCCCTGTCCTAAACTTGTTCTCAGTCGGAATTTAAAAAAAAAAAAAAAAAAAAAAAAAAAAAAAAAAATTATTTTTCTTATGAAATGATAGAGAATCTTTCCCTGATCATAATGACACCAAAAGTATGAAATTTGATGGAAAACTTGCGGAATTATGCTCTCGCGAAGTTAGCGGTCTCGACGATGTTTACGCATTGGCGATTTTGCCCACTTTGAGTCCTATTTTTGGCCAATTCCTATGTACCAGTCGACAAAAATCATACCTATTTCGCTAGAAATCCATTTTTTTCTATCGAGTGAGTACAAGAAACCACCCATTTACCGATTTCAACTATCCAATAACGTGGTCAGAAATTGGCAATGTTGCCAATTTCACACAAATTTCAAAAGATGCCAATTTTCAAATAGGGTCCAGAATAAACAAGACAGACATTTCTGGCACTAAAATAACATTTCCTCTGTTCATTACTCATGTCCCCAGGCCTCTGTTACATTTCTTTTGCTTTCCACTTTGAATTTTTATTCTCACAAAAATTAGAAGATGTATGTTATGCAGACTACTGCATTCGTGTAGAAATGGCATAGAAATGGTATAAATAATATCAGGGCACTTGTGAATGAATATTACACTCACCAGTTGACGTGTATTGGACGCATGGCATGATTTGTTTACACCCTTCCCAACACTAGTACGGCACCAACCCTGGCATGCAAGCCATACTAGTACGGCACCAACCCTGAAAGGGTTTTTTAAAAAACCAAGAAGGGAGGTAACCCCACCAAAGGACTTGGTACCTGAAGTCCTTCTAGTGGGGGAATTCTCCTTCCAAGCAATAGACAATTCTGAATCTCCCCTGCTGCTGGCACATCACTCATCAACAACTCCACAATAAAGGTAAGTGGCATTTAATTATTGTTTATTTTGCATGTCCCATTCCTTTCCATTCAAGGAAATGTATATTTCATGTAAAAAAAAAAAAATTCAGACTTTGGGGTGTCAGGAACGGATTAATTCTATTTCCATTATTTCTTATGGGAAAAATTAACTCCACCAATGGCAATTTCAACCAACGGCAAGCCCTCTGGAACAGATTAATGCCGTTGGTTGAGGGTCCACTGTATGTTCAATATACTTTGTATTTTAAAACTATGTAGACTCTGAAATGCTATGCATAAATATAGTAGGGCCCCTCTTTACAGCGTTCCGCTAATACGGTCATTTCAAATTATGACCAAAACTATACGGCTCCCCCCACCTGACTTTTTAATACAGTCACTGCGCCCCACCCAGTTTGTTTACATTCTCCGTGAGATCCGTAAGCACTAAGTCTCTCCATTACTTCTAGAAACTCCAAAATTTCAAGTGTTTTTAAAAGTTATTTCATATTTTATATATACTCTGACAATTATACTTATGTATACCTGTACCTAAATAAACTTACTTACTGTGCTGGCGTGCAGGTACACATTAAAATCAGCAAGAGTGTATTATGTCTCGAGATGTCATATTAGTAATAATAATAATAATCATCGAGACTCATTAAATGTCGTATATTACGTTAATATGCACATTTTCATTAATCCATCCATGATATTTTTTTCAAAATTATATAATAAACACGATACATAACATATAAAGATGATAAATACACCCCACAATAGAATAAATAAACATAAATATGAGATGTGGTAGCCAGACTTTTATGAGTGACAGCAAGAATAACATTTTCTCTAGTCCAACATCAGAGAAAATGTGTTACTGGGGGTAACTGTAGAAAATTATTCCTTTCGTATGTATGTAATAAAGTTTATTCAGGTATACACAAATACAGTTACATAGATTATCATACATAACAGCATATGTGTAGTGAAATTAGAATAACCCAAAAAAGTCAGACAGAGTGACTTATTTCCACTGCCTTCACTCAGAACGTCATTTCTTCTAAAACTGGTGTTACATGAGAATGGGAGTGTTCTTCTTTATTTATTCTACTGTATCAATGTAGAGACAACTTGTACACAATGTAACTTGTACACAAACCAGACCTGTACACTTTGTTTGTTTACAAAACTTGCGTTCGCCTGGTTTGTTTACATAACTCTGCGCCTGTCCTCCCTCATGTACTCATTCTCTTTCTCTCTGATTTATTAGTTTTATCTCGTTTACTCACCCTTGACCCTACATTAAGACTACAAATATATTAAGGTAAGTAATTAGTGAACTGCATATGTATTTTATCGCTCTGGGATGCTTAAATGTAATAGAATATTATGTGTAGGTGGGGGTGGCATGGTATGGTAGCCTGGCTGACTACCATACATACCACACTTGATTTCTTACAATAAATACTACCTGTCTCACCCTAGATTAAGACGACAAATATTTTAAGGTAAGTAATGAGTGCACTATGTGTGTATTTTACTTTTTGTTGTTTTTTGATGCCTAGTTCTATTGGTAACTTAATATATGTTAGTGTAAACTTGTTATCTAGTATTTGTATGCATTTATAAGGGAAAAAAAGGGTGTTCCACTTTACGGCGGTAGCCTGGAACCTAACCTGCCATGTAAGTGGGGCCCTACTGTATGGCCTATTCTTTGTAATATTTACTATCTGCTATTAAACCTACTGTTCTAACTCTAATGTATCTTCTTAAGAAATACAGATACCTTATCTACCTATCATAAGTTATATACATGTTGGAATAACCATTTACAGTGCCAAAGACAGCAGTTCTGGTGATGCATCAAACCAATTGCATATATGTTTCCCATTCTTAAAAAGTAGAAACCTGTAAATTGGTTCTGATAAACCACTTAAAAAAGAACTAGTACTCTAACAGTACACTACCCTATATTTTTCTTGCATTCCTTGTTCAACAGCTCTTTACCTTCAAGTATCTGATCCACAAACCTAGTACTTAACAAATTACACTTCATTCATTGCCTACCAGTTTCTTGGTTATGCTTTGTACTCTGTCAGTCATATCGTGACATAACACCTGGAAAATTTGGGAGCAATTAAGCTTAAATTTCCAAATCAAAATTACTTACTCTACATGAAAGGAAGATGCTGGGCAGCTGGCACAGGTGTAATGAGTATACTGATACATAACCCAATACATGTAAAGGGACCATGACTTTTCAACACCCTTTCTTTATACATAAGGGACATTACCAACAAACCTATAACTATCTTCATAGGGAAATTCGATAAAGCAAGTTCTTAAAATTAGTTCCTGATGTAGCCAATACCAGTACCAACAGTCTGATTGATTGTAGATGAATGGTTCAGAGAACCGACAAGTTGATAAATTAGACACATGTGCAACATCTACAATCCTGTCTGACACTGCAACTACTTAGGATCTTAATACTTAGGAATTCTTCACTTGCCTAACCCTTGGGCATGACCTACTTCCACGTTGAGCAAATGTGATACCACCTACAACTGCTACACCTCATCATCTGCCTACAGTATATAAGTCACTTCTTCGCACGTATGCTGTATTCTTTTCAAGACTGATGGACTGATCACGTCAACTCAAGGCTGAGGGGCTGATTACCTCAAACTACTCCTGTTCTTCACATTTCTCCTGTGTGTGGACTGATGAAGTCACTGTGTGGCGAAACGTTTCCTCAATAAAGATACCCAAGTGTTGCACATGTGTCTAATTTATCAGTCTGATTGATCAGGCCTTGTCTGGGACCAAGCCATGTGAGCAGTAACCCCTGGAACTACAGATTTGTCTGCAGCTCAAATTTTTACAATGATTACCCTTAATTTTATACAATATACAGTATTCACAGCTCAGTGGGAGACGGCCGGTGCAATGAAAAAAAATCGCTCTTTCTGAAGTATAGTCAGTGACACACTGTACAGTACTTACAGAATATATTTCTGAAACAGGAAGCTGGTGGACATCAATACTTGTTCCATCAGCATTTTGTGTAGTTGACTCTGTGAGTCTTGTAATACCGGATTCACTTTGTTCGTGTAGAGTGTTATTACCGTCAACATCAGTAACATGTTGTTCTAATATGTTCTTATCAACTTTTGATGCCACAAATCCATGACTGCTCATATGCCGCTTAACCTGTTATAAAAGCAATATTATTAATGTATGCAGTTACTTAAGCTAATTTGCCTAAGCAAAAAAGAGTTTAACTTCATATATTAGAGCTAAGCATTGTACATGTTTTGCCCTAATGCTGAATGATTAATAATACACTACAATACTAATGCTTCAAGTAACAAAAATCATCAGATCTTTTATAATAAACAAGTTGCCCCTTTACATGCACTATAAATAAAAATGAAACAACAAAAACAATGAACATGCATCATTTATATCTGAAATTAACTAATGTGTGTGCCACTGGCACATTATTACCGTATTACACAGTTTTGTCTTACTTTTGATATTTAAGCAAAAAAGGAAATTTTATTTCTAATGAATTTAGTTTCATTATTAATTGTGAAGACAGGAAGAGCAGTTGAGTTGGTTTGAGCAATTAGAGAAGATGGAGCACAACAGGTTGACCATGAGGGTGCATAAAACTATGGTAGAAGGACAGAAGTTTAGGGGTCTTTCCTGAAAGAACCTGAGGGAGGAGGTAAAGGAGGTTTTCAGTGCTAGGGGTTTAAGCTTTCGGTAGGCTTTTTTTTTTTTTTTTTTTTTTTTTTTTTTTTTACACAGGGTTTGACAAGGTTAAGGATCCCTAGCTTTATTGACAGCTATTTACAGGTTAACCCTTTGACTGTTTCAGGCCCCTCTCTGAAACTGTCATTCTATGTCGCCAAATATTCAAAAAAAAAAAAAAATTATTTTTTCTTATGAAAATGTTAAGATTATTTTTCTAAGTGTTTTAGTCCAAAAAAAAAATTTTTGCCATCGGTACTTACCGAGATATAGAGCCGTGAAGTTTGCAGAAAATGAGCCGTGTATGGCAACAGCGGCGACTGCCGCTCACCCGGTAAACTTTAGTTTACTTGTAATTGAAGGTTTTTTGTTTTTTTCAGTATTTTATTTTTTCACATAACTTATGTGGCCTATGAGACCAAAGTAAGGTGCAATGTACATATATACACTCGTTGTATACAACACAATAAGCACACAAACATAATTATCAATATATTGTTTACAAAATTGTTTACAAAAACAAAAAACAATCATCCTCCTCCTCCTTCTCCTCCTCCTCCTTCTCCTCCTCCTTCTCCTTCTCCTCCTTCTCCTTCTCCTCCTCCTCCTTCTCCTCCTCCTTCTTCTCCTCCTCCTTCTCCTCTCCTCCTCCTCCTCCTCCTCCTTCTCCTCCTCCTTCTTCTCCTCCTTCTCCTCCTCCTCCTCTCCTCCTTGTCTTGTGTGGGAGTGTGTGGCTTATAATTGTTTTGAGTCAGAAGTCGGCAGCTGTCAAAGTGACATATTGTCTCATTACTCACTCCCCCTCCTGCCTGTCAAAAACAATGGGGTCGGATGCTGCTTCCCCCCCTCCATTCTGTCTAATTATTTTCTCCTCATTCATATCTTTCAATCTGTCTCTTTTTTCTATCTGTTCCCTATCTTGTCTACAGGTACCATAAATACAAGTTACTAGTGTAATTACCTAGGAAAACCAAGAAATCCGCAAAGTGCTTACTCTGCTTGAAGTTTTGAGAAAATTTGAGCCACAGTCTTGTGGCTCTCTCTGAGACAGAGGCTAGATGGACAGACGGGAGCTTGACAGAAGACAATAGCAAAAGAAATGTTTGTGTCCCACCCAAAAACAAAAGGGAGGCGTGGTCATGAATTTTCCTTTCAGCTCTCCCCGGTTTCGCTCTCAAAGTCGTTTTTCGATGTTTCTCCCCTTATCTTGTCATGTCAGGGGGGTGGACTTTTTTTTTTTTGTTAAAGGGGAAACAATATTATTACATCTTCTTCTTTCTTTTTCCTCCCCTCCTCCTCTTTCTCCTCTCCCCTCCCCTCTTCCTCCCCTCCTCCTCCTCCTCCTCCTCTCCTCTTCCCCCCTCCTCCCCCCCCCTCCTCTTCCCCCCCTCCTCCCCCTCCCCCTCCTCCTCCTCTTCCTCCCCCCCCCTTTTGTTTTGGTCTCAAACTCCTCCAAATCTAAAATTGTCTTCCTGCCCTTTCCCATCTGTGTTGAGCATCATTTGGGGAAAGAGAAGGTCCAGATTTGCTGGGGAATCACATATTTCTTACGTAGAATGCTAAAAAAGGAAACTGAAATGGATTCCAAATGCACCAGGGCCCCCGATTTTTTTTTATGGTGACACTGCCATGGGACCATTCTCTAAACTGTGGGCCACCGCTTTTCTGCTGTTTTAAAAGTGCTAAAATTTATGGTATAAAACGTCAAAAACATTGGCTGAAAGACGTATTTAACGTCGGAAACAGTCAAAGGGATAAGGATTCCAAACTTTATGGAAGCAAAGAGGTTACCTACTCAGCCATTTAAAGCATTTTTTATTGTTATGAGAATGCAATGGGGAAACAGGATGAATTGGGACCCATTGGGGCCAGCTTTTTCATTTGATCAAGCCCCGAGAAAAAAAACCCTTTCCCCCTTTGCTACACAGTATCTATTCAGTGTATATGAAAGGATATCGCAGAAGAAAAAAACCCCAGAAAAAAAAAGAATAACAGCAAGGACCCTAGAACTCAACTTGCCCCCAGCAGGACGCCAGTGTTATCAACCCCCTCCCCCGCCACCCAAGGAACAAAAACCAACAAAAACAGGGCTGATCCCCCCAACTCCACTCCTTCAAAGGATTCCCCATGATAACTCAGGTATGTTATTCTGCAATATAAAGGTAAATCGTTGCTCTAGAAATGAAATAAAAGATATAAAAGCAACATCGAGCGGAGATCCAAGTAACCAACCTCGAGAATAAGATCCAAAACCTTGAAGAGAAGTTAATCGGGAAGTTTTTGACACGAAAATCTCTAAAAGCAGCTTTTCCCAGTCACACGAGAAATTTAACAAAATAAATTAAAGGTTAAAGAAGAAATCAAGGACTAAAATCAGAACATGCCAACTGACTAAAGAATCCCTTTGATTTCCAAGACGAAAAAAATGAAAAGATAATTTGTTGATGCAGTAATAATAAAAGTCCAAAATTTCCTAGTGACATAAAAAAAGTCATGCAAGAAATGCTATCAGGAAAATACAGAACACGTACAAGTCATCGTGCAAAACAATAAAAATCAAAAAACACGTTTGCTGGAAAACCGGGAAAGTAAACACAGTATAATGTCAGCTTCATTTACGATAAAAAAAAAGGACAAATTTAAATCAGAAATTTCAATAAAAAATGGGTGTACAAAAAATGGTGTTAACAAAAAACGTCAAAACCTTTGTTCAGGCTGAGAAATTAACAGGAAACAAAATAATCAGTGTTTCACGCGGATGGGAAAATACTAGAAGGGAAAAACTAAAACGGACAAATTACCATCTAAAACGAACACGATTTCTCTATTTCCCTTAGAAAAGTGACATTTCTTTAACGTTTGTAAGTCCCTTAATAAAATTTTCGTGTGGTGCATATAGTGTCGTTACTTTTATATGTAATTATTTTTTTATTTTTTTATACTAGCTAATGAAATCCTCCAATACTCATCTTTTTTTCTTACTGATTAAATTGCTCAAAATTTTAAATTTAAAGTAAAATTTACTCCAAATTAATAATATTCTTTTTCTTACCGTCCATTTAATTTTTTTTAAATTTAATTGTTTTTTTAGTCATTTTCTTGTGTATGCTTTAGTTTTTTTCCAATTTACTTTTTTGCAGTCCAAAACTATCTTTTGTAGCTACCAAAAATCCCTCATTTTTTTTTACTTTTATTGTGCAATAAAATGCTCAATTTTTTAATATTACAAATGTTTTTACTCCTAAACCCAAAATTTTTTCATTGGACCCCCCTGTATTTAACTTTGTTTCCCTTTCTTAATTTTTGTCCCCTTTTATATTTTCTCCTTATTTAGCTTTATTAACTCCCCAGTTTATATATTCACAATTGTTAAAAAAATCAAGGGTATTCTCGGTGCAAAGTAGAAGAGTTCAAATTTTGCCTTTTTTTCCAAAGCTCATTTTTTGATTACCACTTATTTGGGACCACAACTTATATTTGTCCCCTTTTTTATTTTTTTATACTTTAAATTTTAACTTTTAAAGAATTACTTTATTGTACTCCCCTTTTCATATTCCCAACCCATTATTTTATCATCACTTTTTTGTATTAGTCCTTTTTTATTGCTCATTATTTACATTTGTTAAAAAATTAGGGGCTATTTTTTGCTTAAGATATTTCTTTGTTTTATATTAATTCTAACATAGATCACTACAAAACTTTTGTTACAAACATTGATCCTGTACCAACTCTTATTTAATGTTAAATGAATAAAAATTTCTGTAAATTTTACATGCAGAACAACCAAAGGGACTTCCAGTGCAAAACAACATAATATCTTTTAATACAATTAGATCTTTAAACAAGCATTTCGATGACCCCCAAACTTTCTAAATTCCTTACTGCCAAAGTCAAACTTTTTAAATAACTGAAAACCGGCTGAAGCCCGATAGTACGAGTCTATGCATTCCCGGTTACACAGCCTACACAAAGTAGGCAGCAAAAAGGGGGGGGCAAGCCATATATATCGCCAACTAGGGAAAGTATTTCCCAATACTTTTCACAGGGAGAACTTGGGGAATAATTTTAAAGCCCAAAATTTAAAAACAAATACCCACAAAAAACCTCTCACATTGATAAAAATTACGAGTTCCACCCGTCAAACTTAGCCCTTTATCAAACCTAGGAAATATGTAACTGTGCACGCTTGAAAAAAAGATCACTTTACTTCAGGTGATTCAATTAATTTTTCCCGCAAGACAGGACCCACAGTTTCTGAATTTACAAACCAAGAGTACTGTATGTTGCTACCCAAAAGTAACCCAAAACTACAAAAGTTACAGAGATAGTGTTTCCTACTTTACCCCATCTGGCCAACCCAATCCCCCTTTTAAAATCAGGCATAATTCAGAAATACCACAGACCCTCCCCCACTTTTCTCATAACCTCTTGGAAAAATTTCCCCAAGACACTAC